TGACTGCAGCTTGAGGGAATTTTTTAGTGTGACAAAACTGTTCTCTATCCTGATCTATTCTTGAATCTAAGCGTATGTTAAAAATTATACACATACATCAGAAACAGTGAATTGTATTATATATAAATTTTTAAAAGTTGGTTTTTCCAGGAGTCATGTATGGCTGTGAGAGTTGGACTATAAAGAAAGCCGAACAGCCAGAAGAATTGATGCTTTTGAACTGTGGTGTTGGGGAAGACTCTTGAGAGTCCCTTGGACTTCAAGGAGATCAAACCAGTCAATCCTAAAGGAAATCAGTCCTGAATATTCATTGGAAGGACTGATGCTGAAGCTGAAACTCCAATACTTTGGCCACCTGACACAAAAAACTGACTCACTGGAAAAGACCCTGATGCTGGGAAAGATTAAAGGCAGGAGGAGAAGAGGACAACAGAGGATGAGCTGGTTGGATGGCATCACCAACTCGATGGACATGAGTTTGAGCAAGCTCCGGAAGTTGGTGATGGACAGCGAAGCTTGGCATGATGCAGTCCATGGGGCTGCAAAGAGTTGGACACGATTGAGCAACTGAACTGAACTGAAGAATAAAGAATCCCAGGGGACAAGGCAGTCCTCAGGCCCAGAAGGGGTGCCTCTCCCACTGTCTCATCTCTGCAGTCAGTATCTCTTCCACTTCCAGCTCCTTAAGCAGGGTCATCAGCCCATACAACCCTCCTGGTGACTCACCAAAGTACACTATAACCCTCACATCTAGTTTGACCTCAGTGTAATCCCCATAATGACAGCTGACTTTGGCTGTTCACCAAGGTATCCCTAGGAGCCCAGAACAGTGCTTGTATAGAAGTTACTCAATAACTGTCTGTTGATTGAGCAAATATTTATTAGCTCTTTATCTCACTGGCTCCAAATTCCTAAATCCACTCTAAGTTAAATACTCATGTTAGCCTCCTCCACCTCCTCCAATAATGTCACTTGCTCTAATTCCACTCCTAGAATTTTGGCACTTAGCATTCCTGCTCAGGTGTTGGCTCCCACGAAAGGGTCTCCTGTTGTCTCAGGTAAGAATTCCTCCCGGTAGCTGTCTGCCTACAAAGGAGAACAGGAAAGATATATCCATCTGAATGCAGAGTTCCAAAGAATAACAAGGAGAGATAAGGAAGACTTCCTAAATGATCAATGCAAGGAAATAGAGGAAAACAACAGAATGGAAAGACTAGAGATCTCTTCAAGAAAATCAGAGATAACAAGGGAATGTTTCATGCAAAGATGGGCACAGTAAAGGACACAAATGGTATGGACCTAACAGAAGCAGAAGATATTAAGAAAAGGTGGCAAGAATACACAGAAGAACTGTACAAAAAAGATCTTAATGATCCAGATAACCACGATGGTGTGATCACTCACCTAGAGCCAGACATCCTAGAGTGTGAAATCAAATGGGCCTTAGGAAGCATTACTATGAACAAAGCTAGTGGAGGTGATGGAATTCCAGCTGAGCTATTTCAAATCCTGAACAATGATGCTGCGAAAGTGCTACACTCAATATGTCAACAAATTTGGAAAACTCATCAGGGGTCCCAGGGCTGGAAAAGGTCAGTTTTCATTCCAATCCCAAAGAAAGGCAGTGCCAAAGAATGTTCAAACTACCGCACAATTGTGCTCATTTCACACACTAGCAAAGTAATGCTCAAAATTCTCCATGCTAGGCTTCAATAGTACGTGAACCAAGAACTCCCAGATATCTAAGCTGGATTTAAAAAGTATAGAGGAACCAGAGATCAAATTGCCAACATCCATTGGATCATGGAAAAAGCAAGAGAATTCCAGAAAAACATCTACTTCTGCTTCACTGACTACACTAAAGCCTTTGACTGTGTGGATCACAACAAACTATGGAAAATCCTGAAAGAGATGGGAATACCAGACCACCTGACTTGCCTCCTGAGAAACCTGTATGCAGGTCAAGAAGCAACAGTTAGAACCAGACATGGAACAATGGACTAGTTCCTAATTGGGAAAGGAACTATATTGTCACCCTGCTTATTTAAATTCTAAGCAGAGTACATCATGCAAAATGCTGGGCTGGATGAAGTACAAACTGGAATCAAGATTGCCAGGAGAAATATCAATAACCTCAGATACGCAGATGGCACTACCCTTACGGCAGAAAGCAAAGAGCCTCTTGATGAAGGTGAAAGAGGAGAGTGAAAAAGCTGACTTAAAACTCAACCTTCAGAAAATTAAGATCATGGCATCCAGTCCCATCACTTCATGGCAAATAGATGGAGAAACAATGGAAACAGTGACAGACTTTATTTTCTTGGACTCCAAAATCACTGCAGATGTGACTACAGCCAGGAAATCAAGAGGCTTGCTCCTTGGAAGAAAAGCTATGACAAACCTAGACAGCATATTAAAAAGCAGAGACATTACTTTGCCAACAAAGGTCTGTATAGTCAAAGCCATGGTTATTCCAGTAGTCATGTATGGATGCGAGAGTTGGACCATAAAGAAAGCTGAACACTGAAGAATTGATATTTTTGAACTGTGGTGCTGGAGAAGACTCTTTAGAGACCCTTGGACCGCAAGGAGATCAAACCTGTCAATCCTAAAGGAGATCAGTCCTGAATATTCATTGAAAGACTCATGCTGAAGCTCCAATACTTTGGCCACCTGATGCAAAGAGCCGACTCATTAGAAAAGACCCTGATGCTGGGAAAGATTGAAGGCAGGAGGAGAAGGGGGCGACAGAGGATGAGATGGTTGGATGGCATGATCAGCTCCATGGACATGAGTCTGCACAAGCTCTGGGAGATGGTGAAGGACAGGGAAACCTGGCATGCTGCAGTCCATAGGGTTGCAAACAGTCAGATAAAACAACAAGCTGCATGCCAACTCTGGGCCCTCAGCCCTAGCCAGTGGAAACAACCCTGGCCTCATTACAAATGATAGAGCACAACATGAAACTGGCACTCTCCTCAGGCAGGGAGAAAATGCCAGTAGGCCACATGGGCTGAGAAGTCACCTTGGACCCACCGAGTGTTGCTTCCATGCCATTAGCAGAGTGTATATGTGTACATGTGTGTCTGAAAGGGGGCACTTGGGTTCAGTCTCATCCCTTTGTACTGTTTGTGTGTTTCTTTTGTTTCCCTTGACACTGCGTGGTTGTAGATGACTGGTAGTGGGGTGTTTGGTCATTTGGGGTTGTAACAATGACCCAGGGGTTTCTGGAATCCCCTGGGTTTCTGCCTATTTCCCTCCAAGTTGGTTGAAACTGAGGGCTATGTATGTCCAAACAGTGGTTACTTCCTCTGTCCTTTACTTCTGGCCAGGGGATCTCCTCCACAGGAAATCTTCACACACATTACACAGGTGGTCATGTAAGACTCATGACCTTCCTTACCACTATCTTAGGTACAAACCATGTCCAGGTAAATAGATAGCAAGTAACCAGCACAGGTACACAACAGTTTTCTTCAGATTCTCAGAAGACTGATTCCTTTTCCCTGCGTTGACCCCACCTCCACCCAAAAAGGTTTCTTTCTCTTGGTTCCCAGGCATGGAGAGTGGAAGGGATGTGCACCCAATAGTGGCCTGAAGGTGCCCTGCGCTGGGACTCAAGCCGTATCCACTTGGTCAACTTTTACTGTGTCAGTCAAGGTCAGAGCTACATATAGGTGGCTCAAGAGTTAGGTCTGCCCACAACTGTGTTCGTTTCAATCCACATAGTGTATTCAAGTTTTTCAACTGTTGCCAACATTTTTATTTTAAAATAATTTTATTTATTTTTGGCTGCGCTGGGTCTTTCATTGCTCTGCACAGGCTTTCTCTAGTCGTGGAGAGCAGGGGCTACTCTCTAGCTGCGGTGCACTGGCTTCTCACTGTGGGGGCTTCTCTTGACGCAGAGCAGAGGCTCTAGGGCGCGTGGCCTTAGTACCTGGCTCCTGGGCTCCAGAGTACAGGCTCAGTAGATGTGGTATACAGGCTTAGCAGCTCCAAAGCATGTGTGATCGTCCTGGACAAGGGACCCAACCATTATCCCTGCATTGTAAGATGGGCTCTTAACCACTGGACCACTAGGAAAGCCCCACCAACACACTGGGAGATTTCTCAAGAAAATCAGATTGGACATTACCAGGCCACACTTCCCTTCATTCAGTAGGTGACTGGCTGGCAAATGCCCTCTTTGGATGGGATAGGCATCCTCCTCGGATCTAGTTTCCTCTCTCCCTCCCACTCCCACTTCTTTCCTCTCTTTTCCTGCCTTGCTTTCCCAGGCCCTTGTGGAGTACTAGCTGATAGTAGATGCTCAGTAGTCCCGAGTATGAAAAATACACAAGACTCAGCCGTCACCTATGGAGTAGGCTTTAAAATGGGGGTGGCCTTAAGGGTGGGGGGAGGTATTCCATGCAGAGGGGATGGCATGATCAGCAAAAATGGAGGCCAGAGAATGCAGGACTACAGTGATAAGAGTTGTGGCCGAGGGGTATCTCCCAAGTAGGCAGGTCCATTTTCAGGAACTCAGGATACCCAGTCCGACCCACTGGATGGGGGACTGAGGGGTTTAATAATTCACAACGCAGTCAGAATTTGATCAGCAGGAAGTGGATGGGCAGGTGCTGGGCTTTGGAGTCACAAAAACTCATCTGAGTGTTCGAGTCCTTGCGAGTCCACAAGTCGCTCCTGTTTCCTGGCCTCTTTAGAACTGGGATATTAATAACTGCTGTACAGTACAAGGGTGAGGGTTAAAGGAAAGCGCCAGCACGATGCTCGACACACAGTAGGGGCTGCGCGGTCCACAGTACCCGACCCACCCACGCCAGGCACAGAAAGGCCAACGGGCCTAGGAGCTCAGGAACCAAGGAAAGACACTGGGATTCGGTGCTCCCGCGGGTGGGGCGCCTGAGGCGGGGCGCCATCCCGGGTCTCAGTCTCGCGCGACCCCTGGGCAGTGTCTCAGCGGCGCGCACGCGCAGACCACGCCCAGGCCTCGGAGCGCGGCCTACGTGGCGACCTGGGTACGCAGTTGCGCGTGAGCTGAAGGCCTAGTCTGCCCGTGGCAAGAGTTGAGGCGCAGACGCGAGGGCGATCAGGTCAGCGAGCCAGGCTTCGTGCGAGGTTGGCGCCCACTCTTTTTATTTTTTTTATTTATTTATTTATTTATTTATTTATTTATTTATTTATTTAGATGAATAAAAGTATTTATTCCCCATTGTAGAGGCTGAGGAAGGAACAGTGGGGGCTTCATAAGAGAGTTTCGAATGGTTACTGTGTGTGAACTTTGAGTTATTTAGTCTTGTAATTGGGGAAACGACTCTGCCCCCGCCTTTTGAAAGTTATTCTGTTTTTTTGACAAAGTTCCGCTCTTTTTAAAAACAGATTTTAGTGGGTACTCTGGCCGAGGCCAATTTGATGAGGCGCGAAGAACCCCTATAAGAAAGAGCCAGGCCGCGCCTGGGAGGTTCTTGGGTCTGAGGTAACAACTGGCAGCGGCCTATTTCTCTAGTGAGGTTGGCGCCTTTCCCTGAAGGAGATTTCGGGCCCAGCCCCCACTCCACAGCCGCCTTCTGAGGCAGCCTTAGAAGCCCCGGGCCCCTTTGGACGCCCAGCGCAGGGCCTCGTGGTTAGGGCGGCGGCCTGGAGCTCTCAGGTCGGGGTAACCAGGTGAGCAGGGATGGAAGTCAGGCAGGCGCTGAACTATGTCCAGATCCCCTTCCACCGGCGAGTGAGCAGGGCAGAGGTGAAGGAAACCCCAGGGACAGTTCTTGCTGCCACACCAACCCAGCACAAAGTGCTGCCTCTGGCACAGATCCAGTCTTCTGAGCCTCCCCTTACCACAGCCTCTTAAAAAAAAAAAAAACAAAGCTGCACACAAAAGCCATTGTTCTGGTTCATAACCATCCTCTAACTTAGAAGTTGGCGTGAAAACATGACTTCTTTCATGGAAATATGTCTTGTCACATCATGTCTTAATGATTTGAATGAATTTCTTGTTTTCAGATGCCTGACTGAATCTAGGAAGTATCAATATTTGAGTCATAGCTCTCGGTGAGGTCTCTCTGTTCAGCTACTTGGGTCCTTGAATCTTGGCATCTGGGAAAGGAATACTTGGCCCTACGTCCTTGACTTTTCTGAACTTTGATTCCTTAATCTGCAGATAGTAAACCTACCACAATATCCAACAGCCTACCTAGAATGTCTAGATTATTTTGTGGGCACCTTAAGATTGAGCATATCCAAAAATGGACTCAATTATCTTCTCCTCAAAAATTTACTTTCTAAGGCTCCTTTTTTGGCGGGGGAAGAGGTGTCTTTATTTTTCAATTGTTTGTTCAAGCAGCTCACAATCATCCTTGTCTGGAATTCTTCCTTACCCTGTCAAGTCACCAGATCATGACTAGACGTCTTCTAAACCAGACTACTTCTCTTCATCTCCACTCATCAGTGTAAACCAGGCTATTATCAGCTTCTGCCAGGAACCACAGGAGTCTCCTAACTGAGCCTCTTTCATCTGTTCTGGTTCTGGGTTATTTCCTACATTACAATCAGAGGGATTGTTTTGATTTTTTGGTTTGTTTGTTTTTTTTTTTAAACCCACAGCCATGTGATCATGTCATCTCTTTATTATGCCCTTCACTGCCTTCTGATTGCTCTTTGGATAGACTTCACAGTTCATAGCCTGGCCTATGAGGAAAGCCCTCTTTCCTTCTCTATCTGTATTTTCTCCCTGGATGATCTTATTATTCCAAAAGCTTCCAATACCATCTTCAAATACCATCTAAACACTGATAACTCAAATTTATATTTGTATCCTGATTTCCACTCCTTGCATACCAAGAGACCACCCCCTTGACACATCCCCTGGGATATCTAACAGGCCTCTCACGCTTACCCAGAACAGAAAGAGAATGGCAAATCTTTTTTTTTTTCTTTTTTTGGTGGCACCGAGCAGCTTGTGGAATCTTAGTTCCCCTGCCAGAGATTGAACTTGGGCCCTTGGCAGTGAAAGCCTAGATTCCTAACTGCTGGACTGCCAGAGAATTCCCTAGAATGGCAAATCTTTTTCTTCAGAATTCTTCTCCATCTCAATAAAGGGTGTGTACCATTACCTGTCTGATAGCATAGGCCAAAATCAAGAGCCATTCTTGATTCCTGCATCTAGTCCATCAGTCTAAAATATACCCCAAATCTAAGTAGTTATTGACTACTGAGACCTCAAAGTCCAAATCTGAAGCATTTTTCTGCTGGATTACCACAACTCTTCAGTTCATCTTTCTCTTGGCAGCCAGAGTACTGTTTCTAAAGCATAAATCAAGTAATTACACTTCTTTTCAGGAGACCTGGGTTCGATCCCTGGGTTGGGAAGATCCACTGGGGAAGGGAAAGACTACACACTCTAGTATTCTGGCCTGGAGAATTCCATGGACTGTATAGTCCATGGTGTCGCAAAGTCGGACACGACTGAGCAACTTTACTTTCACTAGCATAAAATCGCAACTCTACAATGGCTGGCAGCCGTTATATGACCTAGCTCTTGCCTAGCTCTCTGATGTCATTTCTTTCTACTCAAGTCTTCATTCTCTGTGCTCTAGTCACACTGACCTTTCTGTCATTTAACTACCAATCATCACAGGGCATCTGTGCTTGTTTTTTCCTACTTGGAATGCTTTTCCCCTTGACTTTGTTGTTTCACTTCCCATTAAGGCCATAACTCAGTTTGATCTCTTCTGAAAGACCTTTACTGGCCATACTAAAGCAGTCTCCCAGTCACTCTCTACTACAAAACCCTGTTTTATTTTCTTCATAATACTTACGGTACTTCAAATTACATTGATTTATTTATATGTTTATTATTGCTCTCCAAACTTCCTGAAATCTAAACTGTTAAAGAGTCATGTCTTTCTTATTACCCGCTCTATCATTGCTGAAAGAAATGCTTGATACATAGTAGGCTCTCAAATGTGTGATGACTTACTGTTTATCTTCGTAGTCTTAGTTTGTCGCATTTCTTGCCAACTGTGTTCAGGAGTACTATACTTCTCCCTCTTGAAATGACAGTAGTCTCTCTCAACTGAGGACTGTTGTATCTGCTTTTCTTGTACCTACATCAGACGCCTCATCCATTTGCCATTTGTGTCTTCCCCAACTCCTACTCATCCTTCAAATATGAGTCACTCAGAGTTCTCTGACTTCCATTCTAGGTTAGGATTCTCTGTCATATTCCAATGTCACCCTGTCCTTTTTTGTAGCAGTCATCTTCCTTAAAATTATTTGTAAGCTCTTTGCAAGCAGTGACTGAGATCTTATTATTCCCCACTTTATCTCCAGCATTTAAGTTTCTGGAACATAGTTGGTATGCAGATAATTGTGAACTGAATGAATAAATATTGAATGAATACAAGATTGAGAGGATCAAATCAGATAAAAATTAGGAGAGCATTTAGCGTGAAGTATAAGTTAGCTGAATCTGCCCTGCCTACTTCAATAGATGTTTTTGAATCTTGTGAGAATAGGGGTAGATGGGAAAAGCATTGTATAAACTGAAAGTGCTTTTATAAATGTAAGATTTTATTCATCAGATCCCTATGGTCTGATGATCTTTCAAAGTGCTAAATTTTATGCTTATTAGCAGCTATGCCTGATTCTGTTATTTTAGAGTTATACTTAGGTGGTAAAATATAAAGATATAAATAATTGAAGCTAATATTGAGTCTAGGATAATTCATAAGGTACCTATATTCTTGACACCCTTAATTCAGTGGGACTACCTTGCTTTAGCAATACATCTGTGTTTTAGTCTTGCTCTTGATGTATGACCTTGGTCAAATTAGATGATCTCCTCATGTCAGGTTTATCTTTTTGTAAACCTAGTGAATATAATTTTTATCTTCCAAGTATCTCACCAGAATTAAAAGCCATAAAATATTTCAGATTTCCTGTGTAAAATTTGCTTTCTTTGTATAAAAAGTAATATAGTTTTTTATTAACTTCATTTCTTCAGAATCTACCATTTTTTCATGCCAGGAACAAAGCTGTATATTTTAGAAGCTTTCTTTTCACACTTTCGTCTTTCTGTCACTAAAACCCTTGAGATATGTACATCAAGGACTCAAAGTTTATAGCTCAAAACTGCAAAAGATGCTTCTTTCTCTCTAGCTAAGGATATTCTCTCCACCATTTGCCCTTCTGAAAGTACTGACGCTTTTTTATCATTTAAAAATCTTTGCAGGTACTGCTTCAGGGCAGTTCACCCAGTGGTGTAACCAAAAAATAAAATATCCCTCATTGCCTGCAATTTTACATCCAAATGCTTTTAGGATTCCTGGGATTAGGATTTTTAGAGTTCTGCAGTGAATTGAGTGTGATGTGAATGCTAATAGGTTGATCTTCATGTGGTGGTTTAGTCGCTAAGTTGTGTCCGACTCTTGCAACCCCTTGGACTGTAGCCTGCCAGGCTCCTCTGTTCATGGGATTCTCGAGGCAAGAATACTGGAGTGGGTTGCCATTTTCTTCTCCAAGGATCTTCATGTAACAAGCCACGACTAATGGGTAGGGTGCTAAGATGAGATACCATTCTATTGCTTTTTCCAAGCAAGGAGCACAGTCCTGGACTTACTGACCAAAGATAATTCTTCCATTAGCTTTTAGGGTGGTTAAAATGGAAGTGGAAGAGCCATTTAGGTGTAAAGAGTAACTTAAGAAGTTGACTTAATCTGCTTTCTGCCCTATTGAGTGGTTCACTAAGGCCTTTTGATTTCATTTCAGGACACTTTCCTATCCCTCTGTTAGAAGATTTAGTTACTTCTCCCCTCCCAAACAAAACAAAACAAAATCTGACACAGTTCCAGTTGCAAATATATTTCTGAATAAATGCCAGTGGTGTTTTAAAGATTGTGTCTTACCAGAAAGAGTAGGTAGAAGTCTAATGGAAAAGGATGACATCAGTAGGCATAGAAGTATCTTGGGTAGTCTTAGATCAGCTCTTCCTGTCCTATCTGTTAACACTGGGATTTGTTTTGCTTTTAAAATGGCTGTTCTTTATTGAATAACCTATGCATAGAGTACTGCAATAAGCAATTATACATGCATTATTTCATTAATCATCCTAGTCACCCTGCAAGGTGAGGAAACTGAGAATAGTTCCTTTTGAAAATAGAGCTCAAAGACAAATGTGAAAGAAACGCTTTATATCCCAAGATATAATCCTAAGAAGCTTTAATCCGGAATTGCTGCATTTTGGCTTTATGTCTTTGTACCCAAATTGAGTTTGCCACAGACTTATGTGATTGACCAGGGTTATAGTTTAATAAAATGATCAGGTGATGTGTTATGGAAAATGTGTCAGCCAAAGGATTCAACAATCTTGGGGGCTAATCCTGGTTCCATACTGAGTTATGAGACCTATAGGAGTCATTTCCTTCTTTGATGAATTCACTTCCTTTTTGTCCTCTCTAAAATGAAGGGCACTTCAGCTATAGGCAAGCATGAATCTCATTGGAAATACAGGTTTTCAGAGAGTTTGGTTCTATTTCAGCAAAGGCAGGCAGACTTTTGAAACTAGCCAAGGACTTCTGAAGGTAGAAGGAGAAGCCAAGCTTCTGTCTTCAGCCTCAGTTCTAAAACTTGGATGTTGGATCCATAGCATGAGTGGGATTTCCCTGTTTTTTTTCTTTTGGCCCAAACTCATTAGTGGCCACAGAGCCTGTTATGTTAGACCTGCTCAGTAAATGTATTTTTAATGAATGCTTATGAAAGCTCTTTTACTAGCACTGTGGAGGGTTTTCCCATCAAGTATCACCAGATATATTTAGTGCCAGTACTTCTGTATGATCTTTATCATATCATTATCTTCATATTGCATATCATATCATTATCTTCATATTGCATTCAGCACTGATTCAAGTTCTGTGCATTGACCCAAATGTTTCTTTATGTGAGACAAATTACTAAAACCTTAAAAAATCTTTCCCTTTCTAACATCAATGCCTATGTGTCATTTAAATCTATTATTGGGGATTTTCAAGAAAAGAGTCTTAATTGAGATGCATCATATTTTGTACTGATATTAAAGCTACACACTTCTCTTGAGTTTGCTTTTCTAGTAAAGCATTAAGAGAGGAACTCTTCAAATCTATCAAAAGAGCTAATGTTAATATAATTACCCAGCATTTATGAAGTGCTTTTTACGGCATTGTTTCATTTAATCCTCACAGAAATTCCAGGGATAAGTGTATTCCCCTTTTAGAGATGTAGAAATTGAGAAATGAAAAAGCTAAGTGACTTGATTAACGTCGAATAAGTGGCAGAGCTAGGACTCAAGCCTTGGTCCTCCAATTACAAATCCTGTGTCTTTCCCACTATCCCATATTGCCTGTAACTTCTCTTCTTTTGTTTTAAAGGCATCATGTTTTATGATCACCTAAAATTGGCTGAGAGTCTGACCTTTCATCTGTAAGATCTCATCAACTTAATGATATGTTCCTAGGACATAATGTCACCATGACTACAGTACTCATGTTGGAAAATAACCTTGTGAATCTTTGAACCACTGCTGCTATATGGTTGTTTGGGATTATGCTGTCTAATCCTTATTTTCAAATAGAGTAATTAGTGTGTGGTGTTTGTTTCTGAAGCGGGCAGGCAGCAATTAACAGGAACAGGCCCCAGCTAGAAGAGGATTGTTTTTACTTCTTTCAGCCAGCCAGCTGTGACACAGCACATGGAGTTTCCTCTCTGGATTGTCATTTCCAGCAAATGTTCTTCATTTCCTTTGTTCTGATGGCCCCAGTCCTCTCAGTCTGTGGAGAGAGGTGACTGCATTTTAGAGGAAACCTCTGAATAATTAAGGGCTCAGTTTTTGTGACAGCTACCTAAGTCTCATCAGGTGGTCCCTGCCTTCTTGGTAACGCCATCTAGCACCAAAAACACTATCAAATCTAGCATGGGTTCTTGCCATGCCTAGGGCATAAAGAATGTGCAAGTTTTTCTCAGGATGTGAACAGTATTTCCCCTCTGGTAACTTTGCAGTTGGCTCCAACTATTTCTTTTCACTTTTGAGTGCAATTCTAGTCTAAATAGTCTCGGGTTTTGGCTCCAGCCTCCTGTCATTCTAATCCCAAGCAGCCAAGATCAGACACTGGGATATCTCTCTACTGGCAGCCCCAGACTTGAAATTTGGAAATTGTGGGAAATGCCATTCTTTGGGCACATAGATCTTCCAACTGTACATATTAGAGCTCTCCCTGCTGAGTAGGTGTGGAATCAGGGTAATATGGAGGAAAGAATAATGAAAGTAGTTTTTTATGTGTGTATAATATGTTAGTACTTGCAAAATGATTTTATAGTCATTATCTTGTGTGTTTTTTTTTTTTTTTTTTTTTTTTTTTTTTTGCTTTGCTTTCTATAACCCCAGGAAGCAGGGTGGAAAAGTGGTTAAGACCACCAATCTCAATTAACACTGCCTCAGTTTGAATCTCAATTCCAGAATCCATAGCCATAGAAAACTTACTTCATCTCTCAGTGCTTCAATTTACTCATCTATCAAATTTAGACTACTTACTTCGTAGGCTTTTTGTGAGAATTAAGTAAGATCTATATATAAGGTACTTAGAATAGAGTATGAAAAAAAAATTGTTGTTAGTTGTTACATACATAAGTTGTTATTATTGTATAAGTAATAAAACCAAAGCCCAGAGAAACTATGTAGGGATAATGGAACTGAGATTAAAACATAAATTATTCTTACTTTGTACTTGTTCTGTCTACCTTAGCTCAGCTGCCTCTGAAATCAATACCTTGCATTGTATATAGGTAGATTTGATCCTAGAAACTCTGGACCTTTTACTCTCATTATTTATTATTTAAACTTCCATATGAAGAGACAGAAAGTACAAGGCTTATTATCTCTACTTTACAAATAAAAAGAGGCATAGAAAAGTCCTCTGAGTGCATACCAAGTGCTCTCTTGGAGTAGAAGAGGCATGCCATACTTCGTTTTCCATTTCTTCTTCTGAGTTTCCCACAGAGAGGCCCTTAAGTGAGTAGAGATTCTGGAATAGGAAAAGTAAAACTAGTAAGTGGTGGGAAAATAGGGGCATTCTTGTGGCACAGGGTACTCTCATAAGTGGTGAAGAAGAATAATTGAGAGGTGTGGAAGATAAGGCATTCCTTGGCAAGACTTTAAAACATTAGTATACATCCTTAATTTACTGCATTGGCTGTAGCAGGAAGGTGTGCTAATTCCTAAACATCGTAGAAAATTAACAGCAGAGGTGTTCCCAATTGCCTCTTATTGGTGCAACCTTTGAAGTCTTCCATTATTTGATTTGAGCCCTCTTCACATTGGCCTAGGTTCCAGAGAAAATGGGGGCAAGGGATGAGAACAGATTCAAGAGATATTTGGGAGATAGATTTAATCCTAACAAAAACCCTGTTATCATCAGATGTTAGTATCATTAGTCTCATGGAAGAGAAGTAATTTGTACAAGGTCATAAGGTAAACAGCAAAAGTTCCACTTAGGTCTTCTGACTTCAAGTATAAAGATTATCTCAGAATATCATGTATCCTTCCCATGCAGGTGGGGAAATGGTCCAGGTAATTAATATTAGAACTGAGCCTGGGACATAGGCAGTGATACTGAGAACTGGACTTTATACTGATGAAGAGATGCTACAGATTGGGCAGGCTTTATTCCCTATACATAAGGAACCATATTTCGCTTTTTAGTAATTCTTTAATACTTCTATTTTATTTAGGTTACTGTTTGGAAGCAATGAGTTTAAAACCTTTCACCTACCCATTTCCAGAGACGAGATTTCTTCATGCAGGACCCAACGTGTATAAATTCAAAATTAGATACGGCAACAGCATCAGGTAATTTTAAAACTAGGAGGGTAGCCTTTACAAACACAGGTTAATACATTCCCACAGGTCATTCCTTCTCTGCCTTCACCAAGTCCAGGAGACTGGCTGAAGCAGCACCTTGTAGCTCTCTTTTCTAGGTATTTTATGTTCTATGTATTTATTATTCATATAAGTTTTTAAATTAGTAATAGCATACCTTTGCTGCAGTGGTTCTCAGATTACCTCAGGACCCCTTTGCACTCTTAAAATTGAGGCTTTCAAAGAGTTTTTGATTAAATGAGTCATACCTGTCAATATTTGTCATATAAAAATCAAAAGAAAAATTTTAAATAATTATTAATTTTAAAATACTATAGCATTTTATTTAAAATAGCCATATTTTTAAAAATTAATAAGAAGATTGGCATTGTTTATATTCCTGGGACTACCCCAGGAATGCAAGGATAGTTCAGTATACAAAAATCAATCAATATAATACGCCACATTAGTAGAAGAGAAAAAAGACCACATGACCCTCTCAATGGATGCAGAAAAGACATTTGACCAAATCTAGCACCCTTTCATGATAAAATTACTCAAACTAGGAATAGAAGGGAGCTTCCTCAATATAAAGTCTATATATGAAAAACCAACAGCTGACAACATACTCAATGGTGAAAAACTTAAGCTTTTTCCTTAAGATCAGGAACAAGATAAGGATGCCCACTTTCATCCCTTCTGTTCATCATAGTACTAGAGTTCTAGCCAGAGCAATTAGTCAAGAAAAAGAAATAAAATGCATATAAATTGGGAAGGAAGAAGTGAAACTATCTCTGTTTGCAGATGACGTGATTTTTTTTTTTTTTTTTGCTGCACCACATGGCTTGTGAGATCTTAGTCCACAACTAGGGATTGAACTTGAGCTTTTGGCAGTGAGAGCATGGAGTCCTAACCACTAGACTGCCAGGGAATTCCTGACATGATCTTATATGTGGAAAAAGCTAAAGAATCCGCACAAACCAACAAAAAACTGTTAAACCTTATCAATGAATTCAGCAAAGTTATACTAAATCAACATCAGTTGATTTGTATACACTAGCAGTAAACTAGCAGTAATTTCTGAAAAGAAAATTAAGAAAACAATTTTGCTTACAATAGTATCAAAAAGAAAAAATTCTTAATAATAAATTCAACCAATGAGGTACAAGACTCGCACACTGAAAACTAAAAATATTTCTGAGAGAAATTAAAGGAGATCTAAATAGAAAGACCTCTGTGGGAATTCCATGGTGATCTAGTGGTTAGGACCCAGCACTTCCACTGTCAGAGCTGGGTTTAATCCCTGGTCAGGGAATTTAAGATTCCACAAGCCATGCAGAGAGGCCAAAAAAATTAATTAATTAGAAAGATATCTGTGATCATGGATTGGAAGACTTAATATTGTTAAGATGGGAGTTCCCTGGCAATCCAGTGCTTGGGACTCTGTGCTTTCACTGCCTGGGGCAGAGGTTTGATCCCTGGTTAGGGAACTGTTAATAAGATCCTGCATTCTCTGTGGTGCAGCCAAATATATATATTGTTAAGATGAAAACGGTACTCAAGCAATCAGCAGATTCAATGTAATCCCTAGCAAAATCCCAGTGCTTTTTTGAACCTAAAATTCATATGGAATTTCAAGGGATCCCAAATAGCCAAAACAATCTTGGAAAAGAACAGATTTGGAGTACTCATACTTGCCAATTAAAAAACTTCCTACAAAGCTACAAGTAATCAAAAAGTGTGATGCTGCATAAGGACAGATATATAGATCGATAAATAGTATAGAATTGAGAGCCCAGAAATAATATCACTAATATCTATGGTCAATTGATTTTTGACTAGAATGCCAAGAGCATTCGATGGGAAAGAAGAGTTTCTTTAACAAATGGTTCTGGGAAAACTGGATATCCACATGCAGAAGAGTAAAGTTAGACCCTTACCTTACACAATATACTATAGTTAACTAAAAATGGATCATAGACCTAAATAAGAACTAAAACTAAAACTCTTAGAAGAAAACATAGGGGCAAATCTTTATAACTTCGGATTTGGCAGTGGTTTCTTAAATACAACACCAAACACACAGGCCTCAAAAGAAATGAGATAAATTGGACTTAGTTGATTTTATAAAATTTATATGTATAAGAACCCTACTAACAGAATGAAAAGGAAAACCACAGATGAGAGAAGATATTTGCAAATCATATATCTGATAAGATCTTAATATCTAGAATATATAAAGAATTACAACTCAACAACAAAAAGATAAGCAATCCAACTGAAAATGGACAAAGGACTTGAATAGATATTTCTCTAAAGAAGATAAACAAATGGCCAGTAAGCACATGAAAAGATGCTCAATATCTTTAGTCACTAGGAAAATGCAAATAAATCAAAATTGCAGTGATATACCACTTCACACCTACTAGGATAGCTATAATTAAAAAACAAAACAACAGTTGTTGACAAGGATGTGGAGAAATTGGAACTTTCATACATTGCTGGTGGGAATATAAAATGATACAGCTACTATGGAAAATGGTTTAGCAGTTCCTGAAAAAGTTGAACATAAAATTACCATCAGTTCAGTTCAGTTGTTCAGTCGTGTGTGACCCCATGAATCGCAGCACGCCAGGCCTCCCTGTCCATCACCAACTCCCGGAGTTTACTCAAATTCATGTCCATCGAGTCGGTGATGCCATCCAGCCATCTCATCCTCTGTCATTCCCTTTTCCTCCTGCCCCCAATCCCTCCCAGCATCAGGGTCTTTTCCAGTGAGTCACCTCTTCACATGAGGTGGCCTAACTATTGGAGTTTCAGCTTCAGCATCAGTCCTTCCAGTGAACACCCAGGACTTATCTTTAGGATGGACTGGTTGGATCTCCTTGCAGTCCAAGGGACTCTCAAGAGTCTTCTCCAGCACCACAGTTCAAAAACATCAATTCTTCGGTGCTCAGCTTTCTTCACAATTCAACTCTTACATCCATACATGACCACTGGAAAAACCATAGCCTTGACTAGATGAACCTTATCACCCAGCAATTTCATTCATAGGTATATGCCAGTCACAACAGGGCAAATCTTTTATGATTCTGCTTATATGAGATATTAAAATAGGAAAACTCATAAAGACAAGCTGGGTGGAGGGAAGAATGAGGAGTTGTTTAAAGAACACAATGTTTCTATTTGTGGAAATAAGTTTTAGAAATAGGGTAGTGCTGACTGCAAGCCATGGTTTTGAATGTAGTATCTTATGGAAAAACCTGAACAAAATTTTTGGCCAACCATTAATTAATGCCACTGAATTATATACTTAAAAATAGTTAAAATGGAAAAGTTGAGGTTATATGTATTTTACCACAACTTTTAAATGTATAATATTAATTTAAAAATAATGATATATCTATTAAGTTTTAATATATTTTTATTAAAAATAACTATATACTCCAGTATTTTTGTCTGGAGAATCCCATGGACAGAGGAGCTTGGCAAGCTACAGTCCATGGAGTGGCAAAAGAGTCAAACACAACTTTGTGTCTAAAGCATATTTTCTAAAGCAAAAAATTAATGGGAGGATTGACATCACATTAAATTTCTGCAAATCTCATTAATATCTGGCTTAATAAAAAACTGCTAGATTATCATATTTGCTTTTACATTTAATCTGTTGTGAATTTTTTCTTTTGGTTGTATTACATGAAAAATTCGGCTTTACATATATATGTAGCCTTACATATATTTGCCGACAAAGGTCCCTATAGTCAAAGTTACAGTTTTTCCAGTAGTCATGTATGGATGTGAGAGTTGGACCATAGAGAAGGCTAAGCACCGAAGAGCTGATGCTTTCAAACTGTAGTGCTGGAGAAGACTCTTGAGAGTCCCTTGGACAGCAAGAAGATCAAACTAGTCAATCCTAAAGGAAATCAACTGTGAATATTTATTGGAAGGACTGATGCTGAAGCTGAAGCTCTAATCCTTTGGCCACCTGATGTGAAGAGCCAACTCACTGGAAAAGATCCCGATGCTGGGAAAGATTGAGGGCAGGAGGAGAAGGAGCAACAGAGGTGGTTGGACGGCATCATTGACTCAGTGGACATGAGTTTGAGCAAACTCCAGGAGATGGTGAAGGACAGGGAAGCTGGCATGCTGCAGTCCATGGGGTTGCAAAGAGTTGGACACTACTGATCAGCTGAACAACAAATACTTGTAGTAGGGAAAGGTAGGAATATATTAATAGTCTTCTCAGATCATTGTGGATATTCTTCCTTGGCCCTGCATCAAAACTTGACAAGTAAAGAAAACAAAAAAACAGAAAAGAAAAAAAAAACTTGACAATAGTTGTTTGTTTCGTTTTTAAATTTTTATAATTTTTTTAAATTAAAAAAAATTTTTTTTTATTTTGGCTGCACAGTGCAACTTGTGGGATCTCAGTTCCAGGACCAGGGATTGAACCCCAGGCCACAGTAGTGAAAGTGCCGAGTCCTAACCACTAGACCACCAGGAAACTCCGTTTCATTTTTTTAAAATATAGTAGTTTTTTAAAGGTTAGTTGCAATGTGGAATCTGAAATTATATCACTGTACTTTTTGAACTCTGCAACATTAAAATCCATTGGTCTATCTTGTTCTTTGAAAGCTGATCTATCTTTTACCTAGAATGATTTTGTAACATGAAGTGTTTCTGTGGTCACTGGGAAAATATTGTTTCACTAGCTTATGCAGATTGTTCAGATGTCAACACACTTCATTATACAGTATCAAAAATCATATTTGCTAATATCACTGCCAACCTTATCAGAAAAATGTCTAAGTATTTGGAAGTTGTCAACCCCACAGTGGTGGATAAAAGTTTTCCAAAATTCGAAATTTTGCTTGAAATCCAAAAATTTACCCTTAACAACAAATACTGTCAGTTTTATTGATAAGCTCACTGTTCACTTTTGAGCAAATATCTGTCACATTCCCAAGTCCAAATAAGCACCATAGTTTATCTGTCAGCTGATCAGTCAAGTAAAATATGAAAAAGCAAGTGGTTCAGTTTGCAACTTAAACAATCGTGCAGGCACTCCTCAGGAGAACCATCATCTTCTGGTATGCCGCAGAAACACTTTATCCATACTTCCTGTTTTAGCACATAATATATTAAAAATGCATTATTTGGGGGTTGGGATTTATAGAATTATTAAGGCTTTACTTCTTCCTCTAAAATATTAAGTGAAATTGGAATTTTTTTTCCTGTGTGGTGGCAAAGATGGCTACAATTGCTAGTACAGTTTAGGGCAACTGACTAGATCTGTGCTAAGGCACCAGTATTTTCACCACCACAGATTTTGCACTACTGGTGCAAATGTCAGCATAGTGTAAAAGGCAAGTGATATCTTAGTGTTATTATGAAACTAGTTTTGCCCTTGGAGACTCCTTGAAAGGGACTTGAGGACCCCTGTAGGTCCGCAGGTTACACTTGTACTACTGGTCTAATCAGTTATTGGCTTCACCGGTGGAAATGTCAGGTCTTGGCAGGGTAGTGAAGGTGTTTTGGTACAGCCTCCTGCGGACTTCAGTCTACACCACCTAGTGAGTTCTTCTCCCGGTGAGCACTGAGTCAGCACCCACAATTGTTACTTAGTTGTGTTCCCTTAGCTCATTGGAAATGTCATTTTTACTAGAGTCTGTTGTTTCCAGAACTTTTCTTCTTGGCTTACTTACTTCTTGTCTGTTTACCTTCTAGAGGGGAAGAGGCAGAAAACAAGGAAGTCATCGTCCAGGAGCTGGAGGTAGGGAGAGGAGCAGACAGCTTCTGGGAATGTTGTTTTTTAAGCTGAGGATGCATCCCTACTTAGATTTTAGTTGTTTCCTACAAACTGAGTCACAATCTCTGCTTGATTACTTGACTTCTCCCTTCCACATTTCCTCTGCAGAGAAAGGTTACTGTTTTTCCAGGGAAATTAAAGCCTATACTCTTTCTCAATTTTCCTAGTTGAAGTGTCAGCACCTTTGAGGCTAAGAGTTATTTTGTTTCCACTAGAGTTCCCAGCCATGGGCAGCTGTCTTTTGTGGCCGCTGGCATAGAGAAAGCATCTGGAGGACTGCTGCCTTCCAGGGCTCTGGGAAACCTCACCATCCCAACCACTGCCTGGTACTTGACGTTCAGGAAGCTCAACTGTAAATACACAGACAAGGCTGCTGTGTCTTCATTTTAATTGGAAACATTTGCATCTGCTATGTTTCCACTTCATTTTCATTCCTTTCCTACCCAACTCTAATGGCTTGAGATTTTCCCACAAGAAGACAAAGAAGGTGGACAAATTTGTAAACTGGTGAAAGCATTGGACAAGGAATTAGAGTTCTGGGTGCTGGCCCTGGTTTCTTGTCCTGGCTGAGCCACTAAGAAATGTGTGAGCCTTAGCAAATCACTTATCTCTCTGGGTCTTATTTGCCTCATTCATAATATGAGAGTTTTAAACTAGTGTATTCTTTTCTAACTTCATGACTGAGTGATCTATGACTGTTGTGATTTATAAAGACATATGCTGCCACATTTCAAAGAATTTGAATATAATTACATACACAAATGCAAAACTGTAAAACCAAAAAGTTGAGTCAAAGCCTTAAAGGTACTCTTTAGCTATATGTTGAAAAATACATTAGGATCTTTGAGGACTTCAGAGGCATCATTATAAATAACAATTGTTTTAACATAGGACCATGACAGTTTTCTGCTTATTTTAATTATGAGTAGAGCAAAATTTATTTCACTTTGCTTCACTTAATATGGGCAGAGAAAAGCTCAAGGCAGTAAAGTATTGCAAACAGTCTTTAGAACTAATGAAACCTGGATTTGAACTCTAGTTCTGCCTTCACAGTACAATTTTTGGGAAATTTGTCTTCCTTATCTGAGACTGTTTCTTTACCTGTCAGTAGGATTGATAAGTAATATCAGTTTTCAGGATTGTAGTGAGGTTTAGAAATAGACGTATGCAGTTCATGCTGCACAGTAGTTCATCTGATGGTAGCTAGAGAACACCTATATACATTTATAATCATATAAGAATGTTGCTTTTTTAAAACATTTATTGATTTATTTGGCTGCACGGGGTCTTAGTTTCAGGATCTTCAGTCTTTATTGCAGCATGCGAACTCTTTGTTGCAGCATGCAGAATCTAGTTCCCTGACCAGGGATCAAAACCAGGCCTCCTGCAATGGGAGTGTGGAGTCTTAGCCATTGGACCACCAGGGAATTCCCTAAAACTTTTTGAAGTGCTTTTTATATGCTCTTTTTTTTTTTTAAACTCTCATTAGTTTTGAAGCACAAGTTATCCTTTGTCATTCACTTAGAAAACATATATTGATAAGCAGTTTATTCTAATGGTTAGGAGTGTAAGCCCTGGAGCCCCAGTGCCTGGGTTCGTGTCTTAACTCCATCATTATTATCTGTGTAGCCTTCCATAAGTCACTGTACCTCTTTCTGTCTTAGTTTCTTCGTCGGTAAAATGAGGATAATAGAAATCTTTTATCTTAAAGGGTTCTTGAGTAGTGGTGAGTGCTTGGTCATGTCTGACTCTTTGCCCATATACTAATAAGCATAGGTTAATTAGAGACTAAATAATTAAGATTTAAAGAGAGTAGAAGAAAAGGTTTGACATAAGCAAAAGCAAAATAAGTACATATAAATAAATACCAATATTATTCATTGGGGCTTTCCTGGTGGCTCAGATGGTAAAGAATCCACCTGTAATGGGGTTAATCCCTGGCTAGAGAAGATCCCCTGGAGAAGGGAATGGCCACCCACTCCAGTATTCTTGCCTGGAGAATTTCATGGACAGAGGAGCCTGGTGGGTTGCAGTCTGTAGGGTCATAGAGAGTCCAACAGAACTGAGCAACAAATCCAGTATCTATTTGTTGAGGACCTGTTATGCTTCATCCACTATGGTAGAGAAGGGATGCTGAGATAAATCAGGTATATATTCTACTTCAAGAAGATTTCTTAGTAAAGAAAATTAAAAATATGTGCATAGAGGGAATTCTCTGGCAATCCAGTGGTTAGGTCTCAGCACTTTCACTGCCGGGCCAGAGTTCAATCTCTGGTCAGGGAATTAAGATTTCACAAGCCTGGAGGCACAGAAGGGGGAAAAAAAAAAAAAGATGCATGGAATATACTAAAGGCCCAAGGCTAACTACTGTGAAATTTGAGACCTATAGTTAATTCAACTTGGGAAATCAGGGAAAATTTTGTGGAGGACATGGCTTTTGAGTTGTGCCAGAAAAGGATAAGTAGAATTTAGTCATATGATGATAGACTAAAAGGGTATTTCAGGCAAGAGCAGAGAAGTGGAGAAGTGGAAGGTATATTCAGGGAACAGCTAGTAGTTGGACTTGAAAAGAGTATAGGGTATGTGAAGAGCAGTGATAAAGATAAATTGATAGATTGGCTGCAATTAGTCTTAAAGTTATTTCACATTTTTGTTTTTTCAGGATTCTATTCGTGCGGTCTTAGGAAACCTGGATAATTTACAGCCATTTGCTACAGAACACTTTATTGTATTTCCCTGTATCCTTTCTTTCCTGGGTGGAAATGAACTACAATTCACACTGTAGATTCAAGTGGAAGCAGCAAATCCATGCAGTTTGGAGGGTAGGTCAAGGAAAGGAGATGGAGTCTTTTCTCTTAAATAGTACTCAGGGATTCATACTGGCTACATCCTCACTCCTTAGCACATTTCCCAGATAAAAGCAAATGGGAAAGAGTGTCCCATCTGAAGTTCAAACATGGGGAAGCTGTCTTGGTCCCTTATCCATTTGTTTTCACTCTGTACGTGGAGATGAAATGGTTTCATGAAAATCTGTCACCAGGTAAGTAGAAGGATGGAAGTGTAGGTAGTGGAGTAGGACAAGGGGGAGGTTGAACATCCACAGGTTAGCAGAGCTGAAATAGTGGTGAGATAGCCAGATTGAGCCCGAACACTGACACTGCAGAAGTCCGGAGCATGTCCTCCAAGCTAGACTGCCTGGTTCAAATCTTGGTGGATTTGCCACTTAAGAGTGTGTGACCTTAGATAAATTACTCAATCTTTGTATGCCTCCTTTGTGAAATGGTGAAAACTAATAATAGTCATTGGTTGTTGAAAATATTAAATGTGTACTGGGAAATGGAAAGTACAGTGTGACTTAGGGTAATAACTCAATGAAAAATAACCTATGATATAAATAATTCCTTCCATTTTAGAGTATTTAATGACTTTCATCTTAGTAATATCTTAAAGATATCTCCCAATTTTTAATCTCTGGGGGCCATTGCTATTTTTACAAATAGAGGGACAAGGAGACATCTACCAGTTTGATTTGGAAAAAAAAAAGTACAAAGGCATTATCTCAAAATACCTCAATTCATTTGTCACTGATGCCATAAGTTCCACCTTTTTTCTTTTATAATAGGGATCATCCCCCTTTAAGTGACTTGTTGTTATAATATTATCTGTATCAGACTTTTTAGCTTGTAGATGACAATAAAATAAGGGAGAAAAAAAGTTTGAAGACAGTATTTCTAGGAAAAGTGATACCAGGTGAAAGGGAAAAGGGCACACACCAAAGGTTTATCTAGGACCAGTTCTAAGAAGTCAGTGAAGAAACAGCCTTGCTTCATTATGATATTCAAATTTCCTATTGTAGGAAAATCAGTGAACAGCAGTCCTCTTGGGTTGGTAAGTTTGCCTTTTCTGTATGAAATGAAAATTGCTTTATTGCCTCTTATTATCTCATGTTTTGCTGCTGTTGAGTCTTCTTTTTTGCCCCTTGGTTGTTGCCCAGGTCCAGTAAGAATTGTATACTTGAGAATTTTTTATCTTCTTGGCTAGATTTCTGAGACTTTGTCTATCCTTACTTACAAAGCTGATGTTAAAAGCTGCCTTTGGCAATTTAAAGATGGGAAGTTCTCTTAACGGTGCCCTCATGTGAGCAACTCTGGGAAAGGAAGAGTCTTAGGAAACTGGTTGCTCTCTGAAGGTCCTGGAAGAGAGGAAAGCAGCAGAAGCTGTGCTGAAGAAACGAAAACTCAGAGAAGTGCCCAGCTCCCCAGCCAGGCCAGAGCTGGACAGGTCAGTGGTGTTGGGTGAGGCACTGAACCCTACATTTGAGTTAGGCCTTGCCCTCTGTTGGGGCGAGTCACTCTGTCTCAGGGCTTCATTCATAGCTGCTATTCGGGTGGGTGGACTAAGGGAAGGAAGCAAGTTGGTATTTGCAATGTAATTTGCAAATCTACTTCTTCAGCAAAGTAGAATTCTTCTGTTTATTATTCTCAGTGAGGACTAAGGGAATTCCCTGGTGGTCCAGTGGTTAGGACTCTGAGTTTCCACTGCAGGGGCCACAGGTTCCATCCCTGGTTGGGGAACTAAGATCTTGGTGGCTCAGGGGTAAAGAATCCACCTGCCAATGCAGGAGACGCGGGTCTGATCCCTGGGTCGGGAAGATCCCCTGAAGAAGGAAATGGCAACCCACTCCAGTGTTCTTGCCTGGGAAATCCCACGGATAGAGGAGGCTGGCAGGCTGCAGTCCATGGGGTCTCAAAGAGTCGGACAGGACTGAGCCGCTAAACAACAAGCCGAGCAGTTCCTGCCAAAAAAGAGAAAGGAAAAAGAAAAGACACTCAGAAGGCATAAGATCTGAAGCCCCACAGTATTATACATGAACATAGAGAAAGCCTCAAAAGAGTGAGAACGAATGAAATATAATCTTATTTTATGCAGTGAGCAGTTTATCTTTGTGCCTGCTCTCACTTTTCTGGCAGGTGTGGGTGGTTGTGTCTGCTGCACGCGGAACCTGTGCAGCTTTTGGAACTCTACCTTAAGAGGTAGTACAGGCCGAAACATAGTTGTCTGTAAGAGGGTATGCCTCACTTACTGGCTGAAGTGCTGCAGATTATGGGGAGTGTTGAGCACAGCTTTTAACATGTTGAAGTTACTAATGTAGGGGCTACTTATTTCTTCTTTTGATTCTCTGTCAGGGACAGAATGAGTCTGTAAGACAATTCAGTTGTTCATATTAGCACCCACAGAGAGATGCTGGAATAATCCAAGGTGTGGTTTGCTCTCCAACCCAAAGTGCTTTCAGCTCAGGTTCACAGAAAGCAGCTGTTCTTTTCCTGGTGCTATGTGGGCACCAAGACATACAAGGGCAGTGGGGACATATGGGGCTGTGAGGGTGGATCACGAAGGAGCTGACCCCTACACTGTCCAAATGCACATGTCAGTGAAGAGGTGGGAAATTCCTTTCCCAGACAGGTAGGATGTGAGGGTGCTTGGAGGTATGAAGTTTTGCTTGGTTCTGTTTGACTGAATTTTTTGCAGAGATGGGGCCTCATATCTTCCCTTTCTCTGTGTTTTGATGCCCAAGCAAGTATTTCAAAACCCTACTGTCAATCACATTTTCCCTTTCTCAACCCCTAGATTCCCAAGTGTCTCAAATTGTGATTCTCCTGTGAATTAAAGCAGAACCCAAAGAGAATTTGGCCACACAATTTATTCTGCAGGCCAGGAGTGGCATAAAAATAGCCAACCTGCTGAAATATTCATCTGGGACACTTTTGCTTGAATGTGATGATGTTGCCCCTGCCAGTAATGTTTCTTGGGCTTTTTTCTCCCACTTTAGGGCCAAGATGGGGACTTCCAGTCAAGGGCTCAGCAAAAAGAAGCCCCCTCTGAAAACCAGGAGGGTATGCACCAAAATGGAGACTTCAAGACTCTTGGCTATTTCTGTTTGGTTACGAGTCAGGATTCCTGTTACCAGCACATCTTGGTCCTAAGTACAGACTGAATTCACCGCACTCATTCTCAGGTTTCCCTGTCTGCAGAACAACTTTCAGCCATCCACCCTTGCCACAGCCTGTCCTAAATGTAGCTGCATAATACACACACTGATGAATCCTTTTGTTGAAAAGCCTTCTCTTAGCTTAAAGAGCTGCTTTTTTATACTCTGCAGTTGAAAAAGAAAATAGGTCTGTTGAGTTGAGGTGAGATCCAGTGTAGAATTTTTTTTTTTCGAAAGCTTTTTGCCCTCATCTGCACTGGAGTCTGAGTCTGGGAACATCTAATTTTTACAGACAAAATAGGTTTGTATCAGCACAGGATACTGGCGAAAGAAAACTTCATTTAGAGCAGTGATGGATTGGCCTCAATAATACTTGATTCATTTTGTGAGGTCTGTTCTCCATTTAGATATTCATACATCTGCTACTCCTCCATTTTAGGGCTTCTTTTCCATAATAGTCCTTAAAATAATGCCCTTTTTCCTTGAAATAGCTGTTATTTGTGACTTTTCGGACTCTCCACCATAGCTCCAAAGCAACTCTGACCTTTATTTCCTAGCTCACCTCCCTCACCTTCCCAGGATCCAAAACATGATCAGTTATTGAGTAAACATTTACATATTCATTCATGCAGCAAACATTATTGAGTATCTACTGTGTGCCAAGTACTAACAAGCACACTCTCCCCTAAAAGTGCTGAAAGTGTAAAGCTGGGCAGACAATGTATGATAAATGTGCTGTGAACAGGAATAAAGGAAGCCCAGGGGACAAGGGGACCACAAAGGAGAACCTCACTGAGACGAGGTGGATGTGAGAGAGTTCCTAGAGTAGGTCTTAAAGGTCTTAAAGCCACCTTCAAGATCACAGGAACTCCCTAAAACATTTTTAAGCAGAAAACTGAAGTGAGTTTCATTTCTAAACAATTCTGTCCGCTGTTTGCCAGGCATTGCGTTAGGTGCTGGGGTGTACACAAATATATAAAATCTAGTTTTTTTCCAGGAGTTTACCATTTAGTTGGAGTAGAGTGAACCCTTAAAGATGAAGACCTCTGCCTCTGTGGGCAGGGGCAGGGTTCAGAGTCACGTTATACCCATGGCCAACTGGCCCGTGGAGTGATTTTAGCAGATGGTTTCCCTCTATGCTGTCATCCTTTCGAGAGGGAAGAAGAAGAATTTAGAAAGTACAAGAAGAGTACATGAAGCTCTGGAGAACAAAGACACTTTACACAACCAAGATAATTACTATTAAAGAACACTTCCCTCACTCTCTACCCTTTGTACCTTCCTATTCTTAGTCTGACGCATCATTTCCCTAAAGAACCCACAGTTTCTTAACTCAACATAATTACCTTGTCAACCTGATACCGGGTTAGAAAAAACTCTGAGAAAAAAAGAAAAGGAACATGTTTATTGATTTTGACTCAAAGCCCAAATGGTCTCCATTGTAGACCCTGTTCCCAGAGAGCAGACGTCTCCTAAATTAACGTGATCACAGTGACTGTTTGTGCAAGTCACTTGAGCCGGAAGAATCGAACTTGCTGCTATGGTCCAGTGCTTAATATCTTCGCTCCCCTTTGGGGGAAGTTAAGGTGTAGAAACACAGTCAGTATGGATTTTGCACATCTCTACACATAGGGAGCCTGTGCAGGGAAAGCTTAGAATAAAACACATACCTGAATAAGGTCTCGGTTTCATCAGAGGTGTTTTGGGAGAATGGCTAAGAAGGGCAGACTCATTCCTTTTGTTACTTCAGCTCCCAGATCTAGAGATTTAGACTTTAAAAGGATAAAAAATGGGAGAGAGCAAATGAATGGTCCAGAAGGCAAACAGACTGCCGTGCATGTAGCTTTCTTTTCCGCCTCTGCTTGAACTGCACTTCCAAGCAGAGGTGACCCTGAACGTACAGGAGACGGCTTTGCATCAGGTTTTCAGGGTATTGTGTGTGGCTGGATGTCCTGGATGGTACCCTCAGTTTTATTTCAGGCTATAATGTTTTTCCTCTCTTACAACATTTGCCTGAGGAAACCTCTGTCAAGCTTTCAGGAGAGCACAAAGACTCTCTTACCATGGAAATTTCCACTGGTTCAGAGATAGGCTGTACATCTGCCCCAGGGCCTTTGCACTTCTGGTCCCCACTTCCAACCTTAGTAGATGCTTTCCTTAGGACCAGTGCAACAGGATTTAAATTGCAAACTGTAGTTTCCTTAAGTTCATGAGAATCATTCCCTCAAGCTAGAAATCATATCTAGGTCCTCTAAATTCCCCTCCACCCTATATAGAAGTGAGAGGTAGTCTCCTTCTGCCCAAGAGTTCTTTTCACTTTTATAGTATGACTTAGGTGGCTGCCCATGTGGTCTGGGATTTAAGGGTTTGTGGAAGAGCTTACCAGCAGTATCAGCTCATGCTTAGCATGTCCTCCCTTTCCTGGCACTGCTGTGCCTCTGCCCCCTTGATACACCCTGACAGTCGGCAGCCCCTTGCTACAGAATTCTTCACTGGCACAATGGCTCAAGGAACTCCCCAACACTGCTGGGTAGTCAAGCCTCAGGTTTTGCCTCAATGAGCGAAGTGACCAGTTGTCAGTGTTTCCCAAAAAGAAATATATAAACTGTTTCTGACTATCAAGGTGTCTCAGAGAATATTATAGGCTTGGAACCAGGCTATAGAGTGTCCCCTTCAAAGTACAAAGGAAGGTCTATACGGCAGTAGCACAGGGAGAAATAAGATTGTGTTGTGGTATGCTGGCTGCTTATGCCACAGTCATGTTTCTGCTGGCTCTAGCCATGTTGATCATATTTACATGTTAATGGTAATGTGCCCTTGTACATCATGTCCTTGTCTGGAATGCCCTGTTCTCTTTGACCTTGATGCTGTCCATCGAGGCCCCACTTAAATAACACTTCCCCTGTGAAGTCTTCTGTGTCTAACCACTACCCACTCTCTTCACATCCTTCTCAGCGACCACAGCACTCTATATAGACCGATAGGGTAGTCTTATCACACTGACTTATAGTACTTAGTTTATATGTCAGTTTTACCACATAGATTATACTTTTCTCCAAGGTAAAATAAAGGTCTTCCTGATTTCTGAAACCTTGAAATTCTGTCCTTGGCAATAGCTGGCACTCAGAAACATGGAATGGTAAGGTACACCCTGCTTGGTTTGTTCTTGTCTGTTAAACATTATGATTTTAGAAGGATAGTGTTTGGGAAGCTAATATGGGAAACGGACAGTCCTATAGAAGGAAAAATAGATCCTGCCTGTGCAGTCTGAAGCCAGACCCCAGCACTGATGTGACATCTCTTCACCAGCAAATAGCATTCAGACCCCCAAGCTGGAAAAGAGTAAAGTTTAAGACTTTTCTTGGTCTTTTCATCAGAACAGAGAAAGAAAAATCCAGCGAGAATGCCAGAAGACCCCAGCATTTGATGTCACTGATGTCCAGGACCAGGGTAGGTTCTTTTTTTTTTTTTTCAGGGTAGGTTCTGAGAAATTCATATTTGTTCTCCTCTAATAAGTATCCTGTCCTCTTTAGTCCCCTGACGAGCAAAGCAGCACGGAGCTCTGAGTCTGGGCACACTCCGTGGGCTATGTGCCTTGCTCCCGTGGAGGTGCTTTTTGGCCGTTCAGTCTGAGGGCGTGCTCTTGGGTAATAGAAGCCCCTGCAGTTCCCAAATGGAGTGAAAGAGGCAATGCATGTTCTTCTTGTGCTTCTGATAGCAAAATTGGTGCTCCCACAGTTTCAGAACATTCCATATAAGTTTTACAGAAAAGTTGGGAGGGATATGCTTTGCTTTTCTATCCCAGAGAACAATCTCTGGGAAGCTGTCTCTCCTCCTCTTCTCTTTGGGGCATTAGTGTTAATATTGAAGGTGCAGATGGTGCTCGGCAGGGGCTGGGAATGCATGTCAAGGTGTCGCCCTTTCTGCTTGCTGATCTTTCACTCAGCATGAGGATTCAGTATGGATGCAGTTCTCACAGATGCAGGCACATGAGCAAAGTGAGTGCTCCAACAAGTTGTCAGCCTGTGTGTAGACACACAGCCATGGTAGGTGTCTAGGATTTGAGCAATGTGAAAATCTCGACCTGACTTTGAAAATACTCCAAGGTCAGAATAGCCTCTTACTGAGCGGGGATGAAGTTGAGAAGATCAGAGCAAACAGTGCACCTGGCTCCAGTCACGCTGGTTTGAGGCCGCCCTTGGCTCATGCTCGCTGTCCTGCCTCCTCCTGCTCACGTGCAGTCAGCACTCTCCCTGTCTGAGTGTTCCCTTGCAGATCCCAAGTGGGAGGACGGCCCAGCGGGGACGACTATCCCACCACCGCAGCAGAACAGTCCACCTCCAGCTGAGGGGCCCGCAGAGCTGGGAACCAGTGGCTTCTTTGGGTTTCTGACGTAAGACAGACTTCTCTCCTGCCATTAAACTTACCCCCATGGAAGCTCTCAGGGAAAGTAGACTAGAAAAGAAAGCAGATTACCCTTAAAATCTCTATTTTGTGCAGAACAAATGATGGAAATGAGATAGAGCCTTAGGGTCCTAACTAACCTACCCCACCCTGATGTGCCCAGCATTGAATCTGATATCCTAAATGTTACTTGGACAACAACTATTCTTATTGTATTTGGGTTATTCAGTTGATTTCATTACTAAAATAGTTCCATTCTTCTCTCTGAACCTAGGCTCTGTCTTCAGAGTCCTTTTTGCAGAGTACAAAACAAATCCCTTCATCTATCTAGAGCTCAGCCGTCCCATTGCTATTGTTCTTTATTTATACCTCCAGAGTATAATTTAACTTGGGTACCTTTTCAAATGCTGTTTTAGACTTGAATTTCCAGTCAGTGGTCCCAGAGCAGAAATGCCCTAGCTAATAATAGAGCCCTAATGGGACCTGGGAGACAGGAACTGGACCTCTGGAGTCTCAACCTGCTCTGCTCTCCTTCTGCAGCTCTCTCTTCCCGTTTAGCTATTTCTTCAGAAGGAGCAGCCAGTGAGCCTCCTAAATGCAGCAGTGGGAAGAGCATTGGCTCCCGCAGTGACCCTTCCCACTCCACTCTCTGCTTATGATGTTCCAGTCATGGAGAATGAAAGCCCCAGACTCCCTGAGTCCTCTTGTGGGTTTGTCCTGTCATTTGCCTCTTTACAAAGGAATGTCCTCCCCCAGTTTAAATCACTAAGAGTGTAAGTTTCTAAAATGCTCTAGTCAGAATTTTACAGCCCAATGGGCCAGTTGGGTCTTTCATCTCTAGCACTTTGATTTCTAATGACAATAAATTATTTATGAAGACTTATTGACTGAGTTTTAGTGGGGGTAGAGAGGGAGCACTCTTTTCTCAAAATATAGGGATACAGTCGTTGACAGAACACTTTGGGTAGGTGGGGTCTGTACCTGACCTCAAATCTTCAACTCTCCTGGCTGGGTTAGAGAATGGGGTCTTGCAAGACTCCATGTCCTGAGTCCTGCTGCCCCTCAAGAAATCATGTCTTGTCAGTTCACCCCATTTGGCCCCAAAATACAATCTCTTCATAGATAAATTCTTCTCATCTAGCTACTCCTTTGACTTTTGACAGTAATGCAGACCAGTTTACTGGATTAACTTGAAGTCAGTGTAAGTTAGAGGCATTTTTTTTTAACTGTAAAGATGACCAGTATTAGAATAGGCCACTTTGTAAGGTAATGAGCCCTTGTCACTCCTACTTTTTGAACAGAGCTGATTATCTGTCATGCTGGAAGTTTCTCATGGTGAATGGAGAAGTTAGGGCTGGACTTCTAAAGGGGTCTCTTGGAGACCGCTTGTTCTGATACCTTTCCCTCAGGTGGGGAGGACAGATGAGGTGGACTACTGAAGGGCCTGGGACCTGAGGGGAGAAGGGCTGAAGGGGAAGTCACTGTGCGTGAGGACTGGAGGACTAGGGACAAATTGTGTTCACAGCCTTTGCCCTTCTGTTCCAAACACAGCCTGCTTTACAAAGCTGTCTAGAGGCTCAGCTCCAGAGTCTGGACATCTGAATAGTGCTATTCTGACTTCCAAGCTCACAATGAACCCTTGGCAAAGTCACTTTCCTTTCTGGTTCTTATTTTCTCATCTGGAAAATGAAAGGGTAGGATCTGATGAGCTCTCAAGTGCCTTCCAGCTCTGGCTGGCTGTGTGGTTAGCTCTGCTTCTCTGAGCAGGTCAGTGAGACTATAGCCCTGGGGTGTGCGGAGCCAGAGTTAGCACAGGCTTCCTTCTGATTTCTCCCCTGCCCCAGCCCCTGTGGCTCTTGCTGATGAGGGGTCTTTTTCTAACTTGCCACATTCTCGCCCCAGGTCTAATTTAGCACCATGCATGAACAGCAGATTTGGGTTCCACATCAGCCCTGCCATGAACTAGCTGTGTGACCTTCAGTAAATTTCCTTCTCTGAACCTTAGTTGCCTCACCTGCAAAACCAGAGCCAGGGCTGGATTAAATGATTGGATCTGCTGGGGTTGATGGCTTGAGGCTCTTCCAAGAGACAGTCCCTGTTATTCCAGGAACTAGGGGGAGCCCCACCCTGCAGCTGACCCCCAGAATGAGAAGTCATCCACTTGACAGTGCAAGTGAAGCTCTGAAACGAACTTAGAATCCCCACCCCACTCTCCTCTGGCTCTGCCATGAAGCACCTCTCAGGATATCCCCACTGATACCATCAGTGAGATGCTATCACCTCCCTTGTCCGTAAGAATCTCCTCTCCACCCTTACCTTTGCAGTGGGTAAAAGAGATAGGCAGGGCTGAGTTTAATCACTAAGGTTGGGCTGGCAAAGCCCTAAACAGAAGTGTCCTGCCCGAGGTCACACAGCAAAGAAGAGAACCCAGGTGGCCACAAATCAGCCCAGTTCAGAGCCCTCTCTCCCCAGACGCACACACTGCCCCCTCTGCCAGGTCCTGGCCTTCCCTCTACACCTCACTTGCTGGAAAGCAGAAACTACCCTCTGAGGACCACACCTCAGAGGCGAGCAGGATCTCCCAGGTGGTTTTGCTGTGAGGCTTCAGGCAGAAGAGAGGCAGGCCTGAAAGCTGATCTCCAAGAAGGCGTGGCTCCAGGATGATGGCGAATAAAAAGTCGGAGAGCCAGCACCGGCTGGAGACCAGCAGGAGGCAAGAGGAGCCATTCAACAATCCATTCAGAAGCGGTGAGCTCACTGAGGCAGCAAGAACCTGGGAGAGCCTGGGAGCTGTAGCTAAGGGTCCTACATGCCCAGATGGGGCAGGTGGAGGGAGGCAGAGGTTTGTGCTCCAGATGGTGGAGATTTCCGGGGAGAATCACTGCAGTGGGAGGATACGCGAGTCACACTGGGACAGCTGCTCACACTCATACCCGTTCAGAGAGGATGGGTACACACATACATGCACATACACATACACCCAAAGGCACACACAAGGAAAAGACAGCCCCTCAAGGCATGCCTCACCCGTCAGACAGACCAGCCTAGCCCTGGCACATTCACCCAGAGGCATGCAGCATTTAAAGAACTCCTCCCCAACACCTGCACACCCACCTAGAAACATTTATTCACCCTCTGTGTTTCAGATGTCCATGGCGTGCCCCCAAACCCTGCTCCTCTGCCTGCTGCTCCTGGCAGCCACTGAAGGCCAGAGTCGACAGGCTGCCATCCCAGGCTGCCACTTGCACCGTAAGTGACTCTAGGAGCAGAGAGCTGGGTGGAAGCAAAGAGCTGATGGACTGGACCAAGGCGGGACAGGCAGCACCCACGAGGGTCCCAGTGAGGCTCAGGCAACAGGCGCTGGGCAAGCCTTTGCCATGGCATCATCTACCACTCCCCTGTCTCCTTCTAGCCTTCAACGTGACTGTGCGAAGTGACCGCCAAGGCACCTGCCAGGGCTCCCATGTGGCACAGGCCTGTGTGGGCCACTGCGAGTCCAGTGCCTTCCCTTCCCGGTACTCCGTGCTGGTGGCCAGTGGTTATCGACATAACATCACCTCTGTGTCTCAGTGCTGTACCATCAGCGGCCTGAGGAAGGTAAGGGGGCTGAGCTCGGCAGTGGCTCACTGGGGGTGTGGGGACAGAGGAGGCAGGGATCTAAGATGGCCTGAGAAAGGAGCCTGGGACAGACACGCACCTCTCCTACAGGTGAAGGTGCAGCTGCACTGCGGGGGGAACCGGAAGGAGGAGCTGGAGATCTTCACGGCCAGGGCCTGCCAGTGTGACATGTGTCGCCTCTCACGCTACTAGCCCATCCTTCCCCAGCCCCCTCCCCTTGGTCACAGGGTTTAGAGTTGGAGTGTATCCTATATTTCCTGAACCTCAGTAAGGATAACAAGTCCAACCCTCTGAGGAGAGGGGGTTTTCTGCCTCTTTCCCACCTCTGCCTGGCTTCCGAACCAGTCCTTCATCAGTTCACCTCCCCCTTGTCCCTACCCCTAAATAAAGCAAGCAGATCGTGAGTTCCTCTCTTTATTAAATCTACCCCCAGCCATGGAAAGGGGAACAGACCACGGTTACTGTGACCACCCCCCTTGTCCCAGGACACAGGGAATCTTCTGCCTGTGCCCTTACCCCTCCCCCTGCCCAATAAATAAAAAGGGGACAAGGATGTACAAGGCCAGGGCGGGGAGGGGAAGAGGGTGCCCCAGGCCCAGGATAATGTCTGTGTTGCAGGGGAGCTGGGGGAGAATAAATAGACCATGGACCCCATGGTGGGGTGAGGAAGGACCTCGCGCTGGCACAAGGTAGGGCAGGTGAGGGGCTGCGTCCCCTTGCCCTAGGCTGGGAGCGGGGTGTGGGAACCTGCCTGCAGTCTGGAGCCCGGCTTTGTGGGGCAGAGCAGTCCCCGATGGCCGCTTCCTGATCAAGTGCACCCTGGTCCAGTCCTACCAGGAGGGCCTGACAGTTCTGTTGCCAGGACCACCATCTCTCCTCCTCTCCCCCCAGAGGAAACTGCCCATGCTGGGCCAGGAAGGGAGCCCTCCAAGCCCCCACTGGCAAGGCCAGGAGTAGGTGTGTATCTCTGTGGGCCCCTGGGCAGGAGAGAGGGTGGAGGGACTGATAGCTCTGGGTTTAGCTCCTCCCCTTCTGGGGATCTTTAGCTCTGACCTCCACCGGTGACCTGGGGTGTAAGCCGCTGGAGCGGGGCCTCTTTGGCCCCCTGGGTTCCCTGTAACCGGCGTAGCCGTAGCTCCTCCAGGCCTTGCCACAGCTCCTGCCGTTCCCGGGCCTTCTGTTGCTCCCTGGGGAAAGAGGGAGAGGCAGTTCCCCTTCCTGGAGCTCCAACTGCAATCTAACTCCCTCACCACCACCCCGTCTGCAAGGAGACTCAATGGGAATCTTCCACTTGGGGAGAAAACACTGAGGAGAGACGGGTCCCAGCCCGTGGTCATGGAGGAGATGGACCAGCCTGGCCTTTAGAGGCCCCACCTGAAGGGCTGTTGTTATGTTGTTGTTTAGTTGCTAAGTCATGTTTGACTCTTGGGCAACCCCATGGACTGTAACTCACCAGGCTTCCCTATCCATGGGATTTTCCAGGCAACAATACTAGAGTGGGTAGCTATTTCCTTCTCCAGGGGATCCATCTGACCCAGGGATCAAACCTGCATCTCCTGCATTGGCAGGCAGATTCTTTACAACTGAGCCACCAGGCAAGCAGGAACCTCTATACTAGGAGGAAGTACTTGGGAGGATAATTGGAGGATGCAGTGGATAGCTGGGCACAGATGGCCTAGCACATGACAAGACCATAGGCAGAGGCTTTAAACATCTGACCAGATGGGATATGGGTTGTCCTTTCAGCTTCCCTCCAACCCTTAGGAGCTGGTCCTTGTCCTGCTTTTCCCCCCTCTCCCTCCATGCCCAGCCTCTCAGCACTCACTGCTGCTTTTCCAGCTTGTAGGAGGCTGTGAGCTCATCAAACAGCTTCCCATTCATCTCCATGAAGGTCTTGAGCACATTGTAGATCAGAGACACAATGGTTCTTGGCAAGGACAAGGATGAGGTGAGAGATGAGAGCAATTTCAGTTGGGTCCCACCTCCCTCTCCAGCATTCTGTCTATCTCTGTGTCCCAAACATAGCCTGCAGCCCTGAACACCACAAGCACTCCCCTTCTCCTTCCCCTTTCACCACCCCTCCACCACCTTCAGATGCCTTCCCTGATCCTCTCCAGCTACGAGTAGCCCCAGTTCTGGACTGGCTGGCCCTGCCCCAGCCTCTGTGGGTCAAGTCAAAGCCTGGGCACTCACTGATTCCAGTGCTCCTTGGAAACTTGGTAGAGGGTCCCAAACACAGCAGGCAGCACAGTATGGCAATTGTCCTCAATGAGGCTCAGGATATACTCATTGTTCCAGAAATACAGAGCCCGCTCTGCAACCTGGGGCAGCGAGATGGTAGAGTAAACGCCTCAGTGGCTTCCCTGCAGGTGCCCATCCTGGAATCAGACCCAGCCACAAACCCAAGGCACGCTGTCCTCCTTACACCCCATCTTCAGGGTTCATCTGACCAACGTGGTGAGGTGCAAAGAACACTGGATTTGGAGTCCAGTGCTCAAAAGTGAATCCTGGCTCCATTACACACTGGCCACGTGACTTTGGGAAAGGCAATTTACCCCTCAGCCTCAGTTTTCAAATCTATAAACTGGGGCTAGTAATAGCTACCGCCATATGGCTGTTATAAGAATCATATGAGGTATTTAGTAAACTGAAGTGCCAGAGTATCAGGTTATGGCTTATAAAAATGAGAGAAAGTCTGCATAAACTCTCCTGCATACATGTAGGAGGACACTGGCTACATCCAGCCTGGATGGAGTGGGGAAGTCTTGCTGGTCTCTGTGAGGCTAATGAAATTTAAAGTCACCAAGAAAGGGGGAAAGTGTTGACAACCACCCGTCCCATTCATGGACATTTGGTAAACATCCACTTCAGTTTACCACATGTGTTTATGCTACTATCTCTTCAGTTTTCCTCCCTACCCAGCTGGCCCATCCTACAGATAAGGAAGCTTAAACTAACAGAGTGGTGAAGTGATTTACTCAAATCTCCTTAGCCCCTGGGAGGTCTCCTGACCCTGAGTTCAGCATCTCCACATTATCAGACCCTGGAAGGTCCAGAGGAGAAACTGAGGGCGGAGGAAGCTGTGTGAGGTCAACCTCCCAACCTTCTAGTCCATACCCTGGCTCTCACCCAACCCATACCTGGAAGTGGGGGCTGGACACACAGCGGGCCACCTGTTTGAAGAGGGGCTCCTGGATCTTCACAAACTGCGAGGGCTCGATAACATCCAGAATCTCCTCCATCTCTCCCAGAAACATCACCTGGGGTGGGGTCAGGGACACAGGGACGGCGGGTCCCATCTCCCCTGACACACACCCGACTGCCTTCCGGAAGCCAAGCCTTCCCAGCCTCCCTGCAGTGGACAATCAGAGCCCTTCATACCTCTTTCTGGGTACAGGTTTTTGGCCAGTATTTGAGCAGCCCCCGGATCACCTGTGGGAGTTGAGGCAGAAAGGAGTCAGGCCTGCCAGGGTTGGCCCCCAGGGTGGCCTGCCAGGACACCAGGTTGCCTCCCCCACCAGAGGCACTTGAGGGCTTCCCTGGTGGCTCAGTGGTAAAGAATCCACCTGTAATGCAGGAGACGCACAAGACGTGGGTTTGATCCCTGGGTTGGGAAGATCCCTTGGAGGAGGGCACGGCAACCCACTCCAATATTCTTGCCTGGAGAATCCCAAGGACAGAGGAGCCTGGAGGGCTACAGTCTATAGGGCCGCAAAGAGCCAGACACGACCGAAGCGATGTAGCACACACTAGAGGTACTCACGTGCTCTGTCAGGGTTGCGTCCTTCTCCAGGAACTGCACCACGCAGTATGCCAGCTGCAAGGGAGTGGGGGTGCCGTGGTGGAGGGGCAGGCAGAGAGAAAGGACAGGGGTCAGCAGGGGACCAGGACAGGACACCAGATATTTGCTCATTTGCTCTTCACTCATTCACCAAGCGTTTACTGACCACCTAGGACATACCAGGCACCGTGTTTGATGTGCAGGGACACAATAATGACCCTATAGGGGAAATATTCAGCAAACTAGTCCTTATAAGTTTTATAAAAGGTTCCATGTCCAAAATCTGTATTATGATCTACAGGAATATAGAAAGAGGAGAGCTTAATCCTGCCCAGAGCAGGTTAAGAGGGAGGGGGCTGGGAAGTCTTCAGAGAACTGATGTCTAAGATCGGCCTGAAAGGATCGTGGCAATTCTCCAAGGTAGATGGAAGAGAATTAATCAAGAAAAAGATGAGAGAGACGTGCTCGCTTCGGCAGCACATATACTAAAAAAAGATGAGAGAGGATCCCATGAGTTCATGCTTTAGTGTGCCTGGAGTCAGAGTGTCAGGCTGACCCTGCCAGTCCAAGTGGCTGCCCTGACCCTCAGGACCTCTCCGCCAGCAGGGCCAGGCCTGGCCTTACCTGGGCATGAAAGACAGACAGCGACTTGACAGAGTGCAGGGGAATCAGGACTCGAACCAGGAACTGCTTGTGCTCGGTCTTCAGGGGCAGCGCAAAGCCATTGATGATGCTGAGGAGGGGACAGAAGAGATGAAGAGGGTTGGGATGACTGGGCCTCTGTCCCTCCTCCCAGAATCCTCCAGATGCGCCAGCTGAGGCCCAGAAAGAGTCACCTTCCTAAGATCTCCAGCAGTTCAGCCACGCCATTGAAATGCTCGAATTCATAGATGAACCTTTGAGAGGAAGAGAAGGATGCATGAGAGTTCAAGACAATCGGAGCAGGCCCAATGCTCCTCTCAGCCACCCTGCCTACCCACCCCAGCCCTGAACATCAACCCAGCTCTCTCCCAACCCAGAGGCTGTGCTCTCTTCCCCAAACCCCAAACCAGGCCCACTGAGATCTCTGTATCACCCACCTCTATATCACCCTCTCAGCCCAGCCCCGCTGCCACTCTGGGTCCCAGCTCAAACCTCTTCTGGAAGCATCATCTGCCAGACCCTAACTCGCATTACCTGGTCCTCATCCAGTCCACAGGCACTCAGCCTGAGTCCTTCACTCTTCATGCCAATCAACCGAAAGAATGACAGAGTGTCTATTCTGTGCTATGTTATTTCTCAAAATCATCCCAAGAGGTAGAGCTTATTAGATCCGTCACACAGATGAAGAAATCAGGGCTCAGTAGCTCAATCAAACCTGCCCTAAAGTTAACAAGCAAGGAATCTAATACACTGAGCTCCTGGAGGAGAGGGATCACTCCTCACCTATTTCGCAGCTAATAACAATGAGAGCTAAGGTTTCAGAGTTCCAGCCTTGGGCCAGGAGCTACAGTGAGTGAAGGCACTGCCTCATTCCATCTTGACAACCATCTCTGTGTTAGTATAGTTATCATTCTCATTCTAGAGACGAGGAAGCTAGGAAAGAGCTTAAATACTTTGCCCAAGTTCA